TTAATGTTGACTCTTTTCACATTTTTCTTTTATGTTTCTTTGTACCTGTGTGCCATAGTACATACGTGGAGAAAAACTTGCCTCAAACAAAAATCAGCTCAATATTAACCACAGGCTTAAATCTTAAGACTTGAATCCTTGAAATGATTATTGGGAAAACACAGATGCAGGCAACAACTTTATGAATAGGACTTCAATAGATCATGAAATGATAGTGAGAATTGACACAAGGGATTGCTTAAATTAAAAAGTTGTTGTATAACAAAGAAAACAATCATCAGAATCAAGAGAATAGAGACTGGGAGAAAAGCTGTGTGACTAATCTAACAAGTGGGTTGTTGTCCAGAATACATAAAGTGAAACAAACAACAAACAGTAACTGGGCAAATGAACTGAATGGAAGCTTTTCAAATTCAAGAGCTGGTTCGGCAGTTAAGAGCAGCAGTTAAGTCCTCTTATAGAGGACCTGGGTTTGATCACCAGTGTCCATGTGGTAGCTCACAACTGTCTGTACCTCCAGTCTCAGAAAATATGCCTTCTCTGGCCTTCATGTGTGATGCATTTACATAGTGCATAGACATATGTACAGTTAATACACTCATGCACATAAATATAATAAAATGTTCAAAATACGCTGGGCAGTGGTGGTGCATGCCTTTAATCCCAGCACTCGGGAGGCTGAGGCAGGTGGACCTCTGTGAGTTTGAGGTCAGCCTGGTCTATAAAATGAGTTCCATGATACCCTGTTAGACAGAGAAATCCTGTCTCAAAAAAAATTGTTCAAAATATATTAAAAAGTACATGAAAAATGTTGAAAATCTTTAGCCATTAGGGAGATTAAAATTTCCCCAATCAGAATGGGTACAAAGAAACAAAAAACAACAAATATTGGCGAGGGGAGAGAAGGAAACTTACACCACTGTTTGAATTGCAAAATAATCCATTCACTATGAAAAACATGGAGGTTCCTCAAACAAAAACAAAAACAGAATTCCCACATGACCCATCTATATCACTTCTGGGACTATGCCTAGAAGAATCATTCATATTACTCCACAGATATTTGCACATTCATTTTTACTGTGACACTATTCACTAGTCAGATTGCCTAGGTGTCCAACAACTGATGGGTGATTAAAGAAATGTAACATATTTACACATGGAACCCTATTCAACCATAAACAAAGCCATTCTGTAATTTACAGGAAAATGGATAAAACTGGAAATCATATTAAATGATAACCAATCTCATAAGGATAAGCATCACACAGTTCCTCTCATATGTGGACTGTCGGAGATATGGAAATAAAGGGGAACTACTGGGGAGGTGGACGGGGAACTGGAGAAAGATACAACAGAAGGGATGGGTATGGTCAGAGTACATATGCAGGAACAGAAATATCCCAGGAAAACACATTAGTTTGTACAAGCTAATGAAAATGAAAAGTATCATATAAGCCTATGTACAATCTAACTTAGGAATTTAAGAGATTATCTTGTCACACTTGTACTGCATTGAGAGCATATGGATACGATGATAAAGGAGGGGAAAAAGTACAGATGCTGAAGCAGTGCATGGAAGTGCATAGGCCAAATCAAGTACATGGTGCAGATTTGACTAAAGTGAGCCGTTAGCCAATTTTCTGCTTTTTCATTTGCTGAGAAGGGGCTCATTATGCAACTCAGGATGCCTTTAAACTTGCAATCCTCCTGTCTCAGCTTCCCAAGGGCTAGAATTACAAGCATGTTCCACCATGCCTGGACATTCCAATAATTTTCCTAACGATATACCATAAAATACTGACAAAACTATTAAAGTCTTAATACAATTTCAAAGTCTTTAATTCTAATCCTCTAGCAGCACTAAATATGATTAACCTATATTTTCATCAACCTAAAGTTTGATGGGGGTGGGGTGGGTAAAAACATTTCCTTGGTAAGAACTATCTCTCACTTTAAGTTCTTGTACAAAGTGACAAAGTGAGGGTTTCAGCATCGGATGTATAAATTGAGGACATTAACCCTCAAGTTGAAGGGAAGGTTTTTTTGTTGTTGTTGTTGTTTTGTTTTTTTTTAGATATGAGGAAGACTACAGCCTGTGGCATCTGGAAGGGTCCAGAGCAAGAAGAAAAAGTACTAGACCTCGTCATGAGAGGAGAGAGGGACAAGAGAGAGCATGGCTGAAATAGAAAAGAGAATCTTGGGGGAAGGAGAGCCCATGAGCTGGAGTTTAGGGGTGAGTGAGTGAGGTGAAGTCAGGAGGCCTGCATATGTGCTGGTATGCTAACAGCACCACAGATAGCCCTTGTTTCCAAGTTCGTTTAAGACCAGACAGTTGCTTAAAAAAAAAAAAAAAAGTCACATCAGCACTATAGAGAAATATCAGAATGCTGTGAAAGATTCAATAGACCCATTAAATCTGTCATTGAATTCAGAGAAAAGGTTTCGGTATGCGGAAATTGATTTGCTAATAGTGCCTTTTGTTTAACAATAAAGTAGCATTTGTGAAGCCTCGTTGCAGTCAATTTATCAGAAGCTGATTTTTCTGCTGTTGCTAGATCCTTAGAACATGCTGGAGTGACTCTTAGATTGACCTGAATAAAACAGAACACCGACATCTGAAAAAGGCTAAGCTTCATATATATAACGCTTCCCCACTAATAATATTATTCCCCAATAATACTAGCAACCGAAAGCATTCTGAAAACCACCCAGTAAACTTACATTTGTAAGTAAATTTACATTTGAACAACAACAAAAAAAGGCAATTGATTCAGAAATGTCCTTAGTTGTGGGTGTACCTACAACCTTGTTTGTAACGCTGCAACGAGTTGGAGATTTTCAAAAGGCCACAATTAAGGCAATCACTAAATAACATGATACACTTACACTGTAATCTCGACAGTGTTAGTCACAGCCGTTACTGTGCAAAACACAGGACACATTCCTACACATACTTTATTTGGAATTGAGTACCGTGAAAACATTTTTAAAAAAAGAGGTCAATATAATAATGTTTTATTGAACTAGGAACTCTGGCACTGAAAGCGTGAACAACCCAAGGTAACGATGTCGTCACCAAGGGACGACCATAGAGCCCAAATCCCTTGACTCCTGGGCTGGATGTTTTCCACTAATTGTGCTCCTTTCTACTCATCTGAGAGCTTCGAGTGTAAAGGGCTGGAGAAGGTAGAAGAAATACATGAACCAAATCTTCGAGGTGGGAAGGCTCTGAAGGTCTTCCGCAATCGCCACTGACACTTTCTTTTATTTTGGCTGAGCAAGATGAAAACAGCAACCACAGACCCAAGGGACCAAGAACTGGAACTAGGTACCGCCTGTTGTGGTAACTCTCTCTTCCTCGGTCGCGGCCTGCTTTCTCACTTCTCCCTTCCCGCCAAACCTTAACGTACCCCTTCCCCCACCCTAATCCGTCTGTCCCCACCTTCCTTCACCCCATCCCCGTCGGACCGAGCCCTCTTGACACTCCCTCCAGTTTTAGCAGGAGTTAGCCGTGCCTGGCGTTGTTCTCGAAAGCGAGTGATAGTCATCACTGCACACGCGTTTCACCTGAGAAACTTCGGCAGGAGCCGGGGAAAACGCGCGTGCCGAGCGAGTGTTGGGGCTCGTCAGGACAAACAAAGCGTGATTAGACAAAGAGGACCTTGCCTTGCTCCCCGGCAGAGAGGCCCTGCTCTCAGCTTCCCTCGGGCGCCTACGGAGCGCGCGCCTATTTACACTTTCTCATGCCCGGCGGCGGATCCAGGGGGCATTCCAAACCGTTACTCCGCCTGCTGGGGTGGGACCAGCCCAACGGCTTGAGCCTGCGCTCTCGGCCGGCCGGCATGGGTGGACTACAAATCCCAGAAGGCCTCGCGCCTCAGGGGTGGGCAGGCAGCTTACCTGCCGCCGCGCTTTCCAGTGGTTCTTATTGCTTTCCCACTGCAATAGCTGTCCTTCATACAGCTGAAGGCTGCCTTCTCCAGGGAGCATTAGCAGTCTTGACACCGAAGCCCTCGCGTTCCCACTCTTTCTGCCTCAGTTCTGATTATGCCTGAATCCCTCACCGGAGTCGGGTGGCGGAGGAGAGGGAGGGAAGCCTATGTCAGCCACCCGAGCGCACTTCCGCCTCAGGGTTCCGGAAGGTAAAGCGCACGCGCTTGCTGCGACTCCGGCGCGACTCACTTCCGTTCCCACTGTGCCCTGCGAGCCGAATCATGGATCACACTGGTAAGGAGGCGGAGGCAGCGGGGGTCCTGGTTTCGTGCCCCCTTGGCTTGTGTGGGACGGGGCACAAGGGGTACTCTCGCCTCACTGCGCCGGGACGTGACGGAGAGGAAGCTAGCTCACAGACCCGGTCCCGGGCTGGCCTGCTGCTCCTCGGCCTACTCTTCGGAGCGGTACCTCCATCCTCGAGACCGGCAGCACTGCTTCTGCGGTGCTGCTGAGCTCGCCTTCCGGACAGTGCGCCGCGCAGGCTTGTTGGGAACGGGAGGGTGCCGATTCTTTTTTTTGTCCCACCCCCTCTCTTTATTCCGGTTGCTCTGCACTTAGTGCTGGGGAAATAGGCTGGTGGATTCCACTTTCGGAATTGGAGAAGCATCCAGACGCTAGGAGAGAGTGGATTGTAGACTTCTGCTGCCTCCCAGCTTCGAGTAGCTGCTGCAGTGGTCACCCACCGTGGTTATTGTCTCTTTGGGTTTTCATAGACTGGAGGTTAGAGAAGAAAAGTCGGATACGGTTTTCGAAGTTATAAGCGGAGCATCTTTTCTAAACTCAAAGTATCCCCCCCCCCCACTTCGACCGTTGTCCTTTTCGCTTCTTTTGGGGACGTATACAAAAATTTTAAGATCAAGACATTTCCATCTCACATTCCAAGTAATAGTGGCTTCAGACTTTGTTTCTGCTGGCTTCGTTTTCTTGTTTTTAGTTATTGAAAGAGTGCACTTGTCTTTGAATGCTTCGGACACACAAACAAGCAGGAGGAAAAGGCTTTTTCTTTAAGAATTGACGGAGATGCCCTCAGTCTTCAAATTACTGCTTAATTATATAACTGCATGCAGATAGTTGTAGACTTGGAGATAGAATGGTGGGTTGATAAGCAATAGGACTGTGTTCTTGTCTTCGAGTTTACATTCTATCAAAAGGGGCAGGCAGTTTGTTTTTTAAAAACCGCTTATAGATTGTGGTGAGGACTTTAAGAAAACAGGTGCTTATGGAGTAGAAATTTCAGAGAGTGCCAGGCAAAAGTGTTTTTTGGAATGGTAAGAAGGTGTAGAGAAGACCGGATATCTGGTTTAGTTAGCAAGAGCTCTAAGCTGAGAAGAGAAGGAAAACATGTTACCTTGTTCGAGAATTTGAGAATCATGGTAAACGGTTTTAATTTTAAGTGTCTATAAAGCAACAGAATAAAATTAGGCGTATAATATTTTAAAAATAACCCCCAACTCTTCTATGGAGAATGGTGTAGGAAAGGAAGAACAGGAGTAAATCATTTAGGTGGCCCAGAGAGAGGCTCAGTTTAGTGAAAGTGTAGCACAGTGATAGAGCCTTACCTAGCTAGCACAGGGTCTGAGTTCAGTCCCCAGCGACGTTGTGGGGGAAAAGTTGGAGCAGGGCACAGACAACGGGCAATTGCAATAAATATTTTGGTGGAGAATAAAACAGCTGCTAATGGATTGATTTGTGGACGTATGTGAGAGAAATGAGAAAAACTGAGTTCCTCACTAGAGCATCTTGGTCCTGCATGTGCAAAATATCCCAGTTTCTGAGTTATTAATAAAAGTTTGCCTGGGTAGATAGATAAAACATCATTCTAACATGAAAGGTCACTAATGAGCTAGCTAGATTTTAAAAATTGAGTTTCTGGACTATTCTGCTCAACAATAGTGTTTCTAGTTTTAAATTACTTAGGAGGCAGACACCTTAATGCTTCATTGTTAATAACTGTACATTTTGAGGGAAAAATAATCAAACTAAACAGAAGAATCAAACTTTCACAAGACCTTAAATACAAATTTGAAAGCTATTTGAATCACAGTGTCTTTGGCAAATCAAGAAATTCCTGTTAGCTAGTTAATTGACAATTTCTTGACTGAATAGGCTTTTCAGAATAATGATTTTAATGTCAAAGATCAAGAGGTCTTGTAAGTGGAAGTATTGAAATGAAATTTTGCCAGAAAAAAATAGTCCAGATGTCTCTGTCTCTCAGCAAATTAATATTGCTTTATTTAGTGTTTCTCTGTATTGTAGAAGTGTCAGCAGTGGACTGAGAGCCCTAGAGAGTACAGAGAGAGGAGGGCAAACCCAAGGCCCTCTGGGGTAGAGGGAAGCAGAGAAAGGTGATGTGATGCTCCTGAAGCTTCTCCAAGGGCAGCCCTTTCCCCACGCTCCCAGGTCACAGAAGTGAAGTGCCCAGACTGATAAGACCCTCCCTACATTCTTTGGTCATTATAAGTGTCAGTTGGCACTTAGGTAAATGTAACACAAATTTTGTAAAATACTGTTTCATTCTTTTTTGGGAGGTGGATGCTAAGGACCTGGACCCAGGATCTTCAGTACCTCAGACAGGTTCTGCCAATACCTTGACTCTTCGTTTTTTGGTTTTTTTTTTTAACCTTTTCTTTTTTCCCCCCCTTTTTTCTTATGGTCACTGGTTTTGCTTGCACATATGTCTGTGTGAGGGTCAGATCCCCTGGAATTAGAGTTACAGATAGTTACAGTTGTAAGCTGCCGTACTGGGTACTGGAAGTCAAACCCTGATGCTTTGGACCAACCCAACCCAACCAATGTTTTTGAAACTATATAATAAAGTGTTACTACATTTAAAGATAGATTCACATTAAATGACCAATTATTTTTATTCCTTATGTAATAACCAGTTATTTCTTTATTATCGTGTTTTGTTGTTTTGCTACTATGTGTGTGTGTGTATGCTATGTTTTTATTCTTAATTTTAAAAAGGCCCCAAACAAACCCCAGAATGTTGTCACTTGAAATCTCTGAAGCAACTAGTAGCTTCAAGAAACAGGGTCCACGAAGTGAGTTCCAGGACTACCCGGACTACACAGAGAAACCCTGTTTCAAAAAAAGAGAAGCAGCAGGCTCTGGGCTGGAGAGATGGTTCTGTGTTTAAGAGCACTGGCTGCTCTTCCAGAGGACCCGGGTTTAGTTCCCAGCATCCAGATGGCAGCTCTTCTAATTTCAAGGGATCTGACACCTTCACACAGACATACGTGCAGGCAAACACAAATGCACATGAAATAAAATAGGAATTTTATAAAAGAAGAAAGGGCTAGGCTGCCTGTTGAAATGATGGAGAGCTCAGTTGTGTGAGGTGCTTGGAAGGTGCAGATAAAGTGTGCTATTTGCATTCATGAAGGTAACACCACTAAGAATCCTTTTGATATCTGAAGGGCAACAGGTTGGTTTTTATCAAGGGAAAAGGTCATCTGTCATCTCTCTGTAGTTGGTAGATACTTCTATGTGGATGAGCAAATGCGGTGAAGACTGATGAACTACATGAGCATACTTTTAGTGCAGTGTTGAGGGTGGATCAAGACTGTAGCTAATCATGTAATCCCCTCTCCGTGAAAAAATCCTAAGAGGAGTTTGCTGTTAAAAGGGTAGAAAGTAGACAGATGTTTCATCATTGAGACCCATTTTGAAATGCATTTGGCTTTACTGAATTTAATGTGGACATTTGGCTATATTCATGATTGTAATTCTTGTAGGAACTCTGTTCATTAATTTGTGTTTGAAACATTATAATTTTAAAGTTATATTCGCATTTCCTATTTTTAAGCATTTCCCTTTTTGTCTAAGGATAAAATTGAATAATTTGTTTTACTTATATATCTTTACGTACTTAAAAAAGTAAGGCTTTATATGAGTCAGTTCTGTGAAATAATGTACCTATTATTCATGGACAAGAATTCTTTTTTATTCCATAGATAAGATTTTTAAAGACTAGAAAGTGTCAGTTGTTGAGACCTAAGTCAAAATCACAGTTTTTTATTGCAGTGTTGACTTTTTAACTAAGGATATCTGTTACCTAGGTCTCTAGAAATGTTATAATACAAATAATGTGTTTTCTATTAAATGGTATAATTTTTGTAAATGCCTTGAATACTTTTTAGGAAAAAAATGTTATGCTTAAAGGAATAATTACCTCTTTAAAGCCAACACATAGGCCTACGAGATGGCTTAGCAAGTAAAGAAAGACCTGCTAACTGATGAGGACTGGAGTTCAGCATCTGGGCCTCATGTGGCAGGAGGGAAGAACTTACTCCCACAGTTGCCTTCTGACCTGCACATGTCCACTGTGGCGCCATTGCACTGGCGCGCTCACGCTCTTACACAGAATTAAAACTTAATACATATCAGATATCGATTGAGTATTGGATTTCCAATTTTATTGTTTGTCTTTCTGTAAATTTACTAGGTTTCCTGAGTGGCTACTTTGCATGTTTAATAATTAGACACATCTGTAGAGACAATTTTAGTTTTTTTTCTCCTTTATATTTAAAAATCTATTACAATTTGTGAGGTTTCTTTCTTTGCATTTTTATTTTATTTTTAATTTATTTAATCTTATTTTACATATGTTGGTATGAGGGTGTCAGATCTCCTAAAACTGGAGTTACAGGCAGTTATGAGCTACTGTGTGCATTCTAGGAATTGGACCGCTAGTGCTCTTAATTGCTGCACCATCTCTCCTGCTCCTCCTTACATTTTTAAAAGGTTTATGTTTCTGTAAACTACTATGGAATTATATGGGAGTTTTTATTGTTCAAAGTTGTACAAAGAGATAAAGATTCTGTAACTTTTACCAACTTCTGAAAGGGTTCCATTTTTCAAAAAAGCGTACCCAAAAGCATTACTTTAAAGGCTTATCCCAGATGAAGAATATTAGCAGTTACACTTAAATCAGTCTGGTTTGAAATCAGGACCAAGATCTTCACTTTATTGTTTGATACTGATTTTATCTTTATACTTGTAGAACAAATTTTAAAAGGGAAAGTAAAAGAAATTACAATTTCCTCTCTTCCATTCATATAGACAATGAGTTACAAGGCACTAATAGTTCTGGATCCTTGGGTGGTCTTGATGTTCGCAGAAGAATTCCTATAAAACTTATCTCCAAACAAGCCAACAAAGTGAAACCTGCAGCTCGAACTCAAAGGACTATTAGCAGGATGCCTGCAAAGGCCCCACCAGGTGATGAAGGTAACTTGTTTAAGACGTTTAACAGTTGTATTTTGTCTGAGTGCACCAATTAGTCTACTTAATTTTATTTTATTAAGCCTATTTTAAATTTTAACCTTACACTTTATTTTCTAACCTTTTTTCCTCCCTTTGTAGGCCCCCTTACAATGACCTTTTCAAAGAATCTAACCAATATTGCAGAGAGCATTACATTAAAAGAAAAAATTTGTTTTCACAATCCCTCTCCAAAGCTAATGTCTGTTAAGATTTTTTTTAAGTAAACTGGGTGATGATGGCCCATGCCTTTAATCCTAGCACTTGGGAGGCAGAGGCAGGCGGGTCTCCTGAGTTTGAGGTCAGCCTGGCCTATACAGTGAGTTCCAGGATAGTGAGGGCCACATGGAAACTTTGTCTAGAGTAAACAAAAATAAAAGGTGGGGGTGAGGTGGGGGTGCCAGGGTGGCTCATGCCAGCTGAGGCCAAGGGATTATAGTTTGATACCAGACACTGTCTCAAGCATATTAACTAGTCTCAGGTGTTTTCGCTTTTTTCTAGTAATTTGTTTTGCTGTAACTGTTGTAGTACAAACATTAAAAACTTGACTTGGGGGATGGCAAGATTAGTTGATGAGGGCAATTGCCCTAAACCTGGTGAATGCCCATCCCTAGAACTAACATAAAAGAGGAAGGTGAGAACTGAAATTCAGAAGTTGTTTTCTGACCTCCACTGGTGTACTGTGTCACATATGCAAACCCATCCCCCATATCATGTATACAGCAAATAAAATTTAAAGACTTGATTTGTACATTTTAGAATTTATCAGATCCTGCTAAATTAATCTTCAGAAGGAGTTTGGAGTTTGTTGGTTTACACTCACACACATCACTATTTCTTACTATTAACTTAAACATTTTTTTTGTGAATTTGAGCAGTCTTGCTGCCTCAGCCTTCTGAGTGCTGTGACAGAAACTTAAGTGTATTGGATGCCTTTTCACAGTACTAGCCGCTTCTTGTCTGAGTTCTGCCACTGTGGTGACTGGTGCCTTTCTCTTAGTTTTTGAGTTCTTTGTAAAAGTGGCAGTGTTAAATGTTTGTGTAGTTCATTTATCTTTTGAATTTTATGGAAAAAATATTACTGTAAAGAACTTGAACCTTCTAGGTAGTAAGTTAACTAGAGTTTGCTATTTCACTTTCCTGTCTTCCCATTTATTAGAAGTCAGCAAACTGGCGTACAGGTCAAATTTGGTTCCTTTAAAAAAATAAAACAGTTACTGTTCAGGTGAGTATTGCCATGGCTGCTTTTCTGCTATCATGGCGGAATGGAATAAATTGAAAGCCGAAGAAAACAGCTTGTGCCTCTCTGAAAAGTGGTCATGTATGCCACGTTTTCCTTGACCTCAGTAATTTTTTTGGGTTTGACCTGTTGATTTTCCTTAGCTTGACTTTTAATGATTCCAGTTTTTATGAAGTGTAAATAGGTCGTATAAGAGCTTGGGGCTCTCAATTATCACTTTCACTTGGAACTATATAGTTAATTAAAAGGTGTAGTGCAAGCCGGGAGGTGGTGGCGCGCGCCTTTAATCCCAGTGCTGGGGAGGCAGAGGCAAGCGGATCTCTGTGAGTTCGAGGCCAGCCTAGTCTACAAGAGCTAGTTCCAGAACAGGCTCCAAAGCTACAGAGAAACCTTGTCTCGAAAAACAAAACAAAAAAGTGTGCAGCTGGGGTGATGGTGGTTGTGGCGCACACCTTTAATCCCAGCCCTTGGGAGGCAGAGGCAAGTGGATCTCTGAATTCAAACCAGTCTGGTCTACAGAATGAGTTCCGGGATAGCTGAGGCTACACAAGGAAATTCTGTCACGGGGAGGTGGTGGGTGCTATCGGCCTTAAAAACTGGCTTGACTTTCTGTATGTAGCTGTGCACAAAGTGTGTATGCTTTGAGGACTCTGTTTACCAGTTCTAGGGCCAAAAGGAATCAAGAGAACCTTAGCACCATAGAGAGATATTTTTATCTTTTGTTTGTTTGTTTTTTGGTTTTATGAAACAGGATTTCTCTGTGTAGCCATGGCTAACCTGGAACTTGCTTTGTAGACCAGGCTGGCTTCGAACTCAGAGATGCATCTACCTGCCTCTGCCTCACAGGTGCTGGGATTAAAGTGTGTGCTACCACCGTCTAGTAGTATTCTTAGCTTTACTTAGGTAATTGGATTCTACCTGGACTTCCCATCAGACTATTCATTTTTTGTGTGTGTTTTGCTTGAGATGAGAGGCTTACTGTCAACTTTTTGATTAGAGATACTCAGCCCGTTTGGTCTTCATAGCGTTCTGTTACATGATAATTATATATGCTCTAAATGAGTGGATACTGGTATTTTCCTCTGTGGTTTGGGTTGTTGACTAGGGAGAGGCTTTAGCTAAAAGGATCAGATGTATTCGTTTGTTGTATTTGAAACCATTCTCTTTGAGGTGGAGGTCACGAAAAGGCTGTAGAATTCATTATAGACTGTGACAATCAAATCAGTCACTTGTAACCAGATGCCACTTTTGTAGGTGGTTGAGAATAGATGATAGTATGTTTAAAATTTGTACAGTAAGCATGATGGTGGGAATTGGTGAGGTTTTGTAGTAGGGATAGTATGTGGAGTTGAGAAGAGCATTGACTAAGAGTCTCTTGTGGTCTTGGCCCTGTCACTAAGCCTATAATGGTGATTTGTATATCCACTGCATATTGTCCTTTGTTAAGTACTAGAAATGGACTAGATGATCACCAAGATCAGCTGGCATTTTAAACTAGTTTTGATAATCATATACTTAGATCTTTGAAGGTCATCAGTAACATTTTTCGGCAAATAGGTCTATTTTGTCATGTAAATACACTTTAAAAAATGAAATTTGAAGTTGGAAAATGTAATATAACTTTTTTTCTCTCAGAAGGATTTGATTATAATGAAGAGAAACGGTATGACTGTAAAGGGGGTGAACTCTTCGGAAGTCAGCGGAGATTTCCAGGACACCTATTTTGGGATTTTAAGGTATGACTAAAAATGAAAAGCATTAAGTATTGGTATGAATTTTTAGTATGTCTGTAACTTTTAGCACACATAAGTCTACTTGCTTCATTCTACATCTCCAAAAATAATTTGAGGTAATTTTCAGTAAACCAAGTAAAATCAAAGAGTCACTATTTAGGGAGAACAAGCAAACGGGTTTACACTAAGCAGCTTTTATTTCTATTTGTAGTAACAACTGTTACAAAATTCTAACCATTTTTCTGTGTGAATTGATAAGTACAATTTTCAGAATTGCTTAAAGAGGAAATTTTAATTATTTCAACAGATAAACATCTTAGGTGAAAAGGATGATACACCAGTTCATTTCTGTGACAAATGTGGATTGCCTATTAAAGTCTATGGGAGAATGGTAAGTACAAATACAGAATGCATTGTGTAGAGGTAGGATTCAGAAATACAGCTTAATATTTTTATAACTAATTTTGAAACATATACAAAAAAAGCTAAGAGAAGTTTTATAATACTATGAATTCAATATAGTTATTCTTTACTGTTTTGGACTAGTTTCAGGAGAAACACAGTAAGATAAAACACATTTTGTTCTTCAGGAGCTTTTAACGTGCAGGGTCTCTATTCAGTATTGATGGATTCACATACCTATCTGAAAATAGAAGCAGGTGCCAGGCAAGGTAGGATAATCCCATAATCCTAGCACTCTGAAGGTTGAGGCAGAAGGATCATAAGATCAAGGCCTGCCCCAGGTACATCACAGCTTAAGGCCAACCTGAGGTACAGGTGAAAACCTGTCTCCAAAAATAAAAAGCAAAGCATTAGCAGATATACATGAATTTATTTAGAATAGTAGCTCCTATTTTCAGATAGGTATGTGAATCTATCAATACTGAATAGAGACCCTGTACGTTAAAAGCTCCTGAAGAACAAAATGTGTTTTATCTTACTGTGCTTTTCCTGAAACTATTCCAAAACAATAAAGAATAACTATGTATTTCATATATTTATTTATATAAAAAGAGAAAACATTTTCAAAAACTTGTGATTAAGCTGGGCAGTGGTGCATACCATTAATTCCAGCACCCAGGAGGCAGAGGTAGGCAGATCTGTGAGTTTGAGGACAGCCAGGACTACATACAGAAAAACCCTGCCTTGAAAAAAAAAATCAAATAAAAAATAAATAATTGTTAGCTGCCATTGGTATACAGTCAAAAGTACTCAAATAATTCCTGTATGCCTGTCTGTAGATCTTTATACTGTTATTGAAATATTTTAAGTTGGTCTAGGATGCCTAACTGTGGTATTTTTGTCTACAGATTCCATGCAAGCATGTCTTTTGCTATGACTGTGCTATTTTACATGAAAAAAAGGGAGATAAAATGTGCCCAGGGTAAGATGTGGTCATCTTTATATTTATCTAATGGTAGTGATGGTTTAAAGGTTATGGAGTGATGGAAATATATAAGGATGCAAATGTGCTGGCTGAGTTGGTTTTAGCCTTCTTTGCAATATGGAGCAAACCACTGTTAGTTATTCAGAGTAGGTAAAATGGTGGATCTCTTTGGCACCATAGTAATGGTGTTGGAAACTAGAACCATTGTTTTTGTTTGTTTGAATGGGACACAGAAGCAAATATAGTATGGTTGGTGATTGAGAACAGTCTCTTTCCAAAATTAGAGTGAACATTTTTAAAATACTAATTGTTTGTGAATAATGTGTGTAAAGGTCAGAAGGCAACCTTGTGGAGTCAGCTCTCTTCTCCAACTATGGGTGTTCTGGGGGTAGAACTTGCATTAGCAGGCTTGCATAACAAGCACTTCCCTGCTGAGCTCTCACTAGCCCCAAGTCCCTGTTTTACTGTTTATTATCTATGTGACATAAGCTGGGTTTTCTGTCTGTAAGCTCCCTGGGTGGGTTATTTTTAAGATTAAATGATGAGTGGATAGATAGATGGAACAGTAGAATCTGGCATATATTAAACATTGTGCCTATATAAATTCTTATTATATATACAACAGGTATGTCTTGAGTGCTAGACACCATGGTACATAACTTCAAGTTTATTTTGGGATAACTGTATGGAATTTATATTAATTTAGAACCCCTGATGAGGAAGCCTTGAGAAAAACAGATTGAAACTTCCTTGGTTTAACTCATAGCTTCCCAACTTCTCTCTAAACCTGTACTTGAATGTATCCCAAGCAGTAGTATTGGTTGCTAATGAAGGTATGAACAACTATAAGGAAAGATTTCCCTTTTATGGTGTAGGAAATAGACATCATAAGGAAATAAAAGGGTGATTTGTTATGACCCAATGACAACTGATTTTCTTGGCATGTTTCAATGGGGTTTTCAAGTTACAGATTATAAAATATATACTACATTAAAAGAATAGTTCTATAGAATTATAATTCAGAAGAATATGAAATTGGAAGTATGTATTATAGCCTTTGTTGGGTATTTTCTCTAATTCCTATTTCCCAGTGCAGTGTACATTCACTATTACATAGCAAATGTTCTTGTTGCATTAAGATAAAGGACTAGGTAGGCTGCAGAGATTGCTCCGAGTTCACGTGGTGGTTCACAACCATCTGTGATGATATCTGGTGCCCTCTTCTGGCCTACAGGCATACATGCAGACAGATATAATAAAATAAATAAAAGTCTTTAAAAAAATAAGATAAAGCACTAAAATGTGATGAAATATTACATGTAGTGAATGTCAAAGATTTTTTCTTTTACATAGATGTTCTAATTAATATTAAATATTTAAAAGCAAAATTTAGTTTTTAGATAACTAGATGTTTTCCAGTTTGCACCTCACTTATATAGTCCTTAGCTGTCTAGAGAGAAACCTGTTCAGACCCAATTCAGGAAGTAAAGCAACCAGAATTAGTAAAAGTAGTACATACTACTGCTTTTAAGCATCATCCAAAAGACGAGACTTTAACCTATTTAATTTGGAGATGTTTCTGAGTATATCATGAATTAGATGGTGGAAAAGCAAGGATGTACAAAATGGCCACAAATGAGAAGCACACTATCATCAGAAGCACTGGCCCTACAGTGAGGGTGGGCAGGAGACAACAGAACTTTGAATTCCATGCTTGTGAATGATACCTCCCTTACCATTCTTGGATACAAATCATATAGTTACAGAAAGTTAATGCACTCTAAGTTTTGAGAAATAGGAAGTCTCTCTTTTTTGGTTTTTCGAGACAGGGTTTCTCTGTGTAACGGCCCTAGCTGTCTGGAACTAGCTCTATAGACCAGACTGGCTTCGAATTCACAGAGATCCGCCTGCCTCTGCCTCTCAAGTAATAGGATTAAAGGTGTGAGCGCTACCACCCCGCTGACAAATAAAAGGTCTCTTAGGACATTCTCTTTGGTGGTACAATTCAGAGTTCTGAGTACCAATATTCTCAGATTGGTAGAGATGCTAATGATTAGTGTGTGAGACAAATAGGCAACATTAAAGGTTCACTAACAGTAATTAAATATTCTTTTTTTTTAAATTTTGCAAATACGTAACATTTTTAAAGAAACCAAAAAGTGTAAAATAAATGTGCTTGTCTGTATTCTATTTTTAATCAACTTTCCCCTTGCTGTCCAGCTGTAGTGATCCTGTGCAGCGGATTGAGCAGTGTACACGAGGCTCTCTCTTCATGTGTAGCATTGTTCAAGGTTGCAAGAGAACGTATCTGTCTCAGAGAGACTTACAAGCTCATATCAACCATCGCCATATGAGAGCTGGGAAGCCTGTTACCCGTGCTTCACTTGAGAATGTTCATCCTCCTATTGCCCCGCCACCAACTGAGATCCCCGATCGTTTCATAATGCCGCCGGACAAGCACCATATGAGCCATATTCCTCCCAAGCAGCACATTATGATGCCACCACCTCCTCTGCAGCATGTGCCACATGAGCACTACAATCAGCCACATGAGGATATCCGTGCTCCTCCAGCAGAACTGTCTATGGCTCCACCTCCACCTCGTTCGGTCAGTCAGGAAACCTTTCGTATTTCAACAAGAAAACACAGCAATTTAATAACTGTCCCTATTCAGGATGACTCAAGTTCAGGTGCTAGAGAACCACCACCTCCTGCCCCAGCGCCTGCTCACCATCATCCTGAATATCAGGGCCAACCAGTGGTATCGCACCCTCATCATATTATGCCTCCACAGCAACATTATGCACCACCCCCACCTCCTCCACCACCAATAAGCCATCCAATGCCACATCCTCCCCAGGCTGCAGGTACTCCTCACTTGGTGTATAGCCAAGCTCCACCTCCACCAATGACCTCTGCTCCACCACCAATAACCCCTCCCCCTGGACATATTATTGCCCAGATGCCACCTTATATGAATCATCCTCCTCCAGGACCCCCCCCACCTCAGCATGGTGGTCCACCTGTAACTGCACCCCCTCCTCACCATTACAACCCTAACTCTTTACCCCAGTTTACTGAAGATCAAGGAACTCTGAGCCCTCCATTTACACAACCAGGAGGAATGAGTCCTGGTATATGGCCTGCACCAAGAGGTCCACCACCACCTCCACGAATGCAGGGCCCGCCTTCTCAAACCCCACTACCTGGACCACATCATCCAGATCAAACAAGATACAGACCATATTACCAGTGATAATAGTGTTTTGAACTGAAGATATGACAAGGAAAAAGATTAAATTAGTCAATCTTATAATTAAGCTTTGTTGGGGGAAGGAAAAATACCTCTTGAGGTGGCTATAAAACACAAAGTCTTGTCCCTTAAAATGGTTTTAAATCTTGACCTTAGGATTGCTTTCAGATATAATACTGTAGTGCAGATGAGTGGCTTGGTTGAGCACAACTGTATCTTAGCAACTGTTACTTTGGTGTGGTGAATTGACCCTTAAGTGACCATTTGTAAAAAAAATTGAAAATTTTTCACTGTTCCATTTTCAAAATACTGCTTTTATTAAACCCAGTGTTTAGTTTTTCTTGTGATGCATTTTGTTAACCTATAAAAGGATTAAATTTCAAGATGGTTGTAAAAATGCTGTTTTATGTGAATTTAAGTACAGCCATATAATTTTTTCTTAAACCATATGTTCTACCACTAATTTTCCAAAGTTAAAATAAAGTCCTAAAAGTAAAAATATCTACTAAAATTATAGCCAGGCAGACTGTTATATGATAGGGAATTACTTCACATTTTAGGCATTGAAACTTCAAGGGGTAGTAATTATGAAGTGCACTTGGATTTCTTTTTGTCTTTGGACGGCCTACGGAGCACCAGGATACATGAGAATTCCTATGACAGTGTAGTTGTTTGACATGTCCCAAGGCATTCTAATCATTTGGAAAATGACTGGCTTTACAGACTCTAAGCTGCTGATGAGATGCTGTTCTCATTGATGCTTTTTTTTCTGAGTGGTTAGAATCACATAATTGGTCACACTTAAGTTATATCACTTTATAGGATTGTTGGAATGGTGTTTTTTTTGGATGAAATGTGTTCTATGTTCACTGTCTTAACCTACATTTTAGGGCTGACGAAGCTTTATTTAAATCTGCATTTTTTCCTAGTACTTTGATTCTGTGTTTTAGTATATAGAACTATAAACCGCAGCTTGAGTGCTGTGGAGGAATTTGACTAATGTATTCGCAAAGGGTGTTTCTTGAAAAACCACAAACCAGCGTTTACTCAGGTTTCATTGCTGTGGTTTTTCCTCCAATTTGAAATTGTAAAACTATCATTTCTTTTGTTGTTGTTGTTTGTTTTTATAAAGCATTCTAACATTGTAGTGTGGAATCACTAGTGAAGACAACCAGATAATTTTGAATTGGACAGAAAAAAAGTAATACTTAGATTGTGAAGTTCAGTGCCGTGAAAGGTGCCTTTGGAGTCAGTGTTTGCATTATCAGGACTTGTTACAGTCCATTGAAGATGACCACTCAGTTTATACAGCTTTCTTACGTATAAGTCATCATTCTTAGGATATTATTATATATCCTTTGAATTGACTAAACCATTGTGAAGCTTTTCTTCCCCCTTAAAATGGTGCATAATATAAACATGGTGTGTAGTATGCAGATATCATATATTAGGTAGTTCGTAGTATAAAAATTTAGACATTGGTTTTTGACAAAGGGTATACTGATTGGTAATTCACCCATTTTTTTTTTTTTTCCTGTCAGGTACAGGAAATTCTTGTGTTAGGTGATCAGATACAAAATCATTTCTGAACTTAGCACAGGAGTAAATATGAATGGCCATTTCATCCTTGGCTGGCCAAGAAAAACCAAAAAACTAATGCAGTTTTTTTGAACAAGCAGTTTTTCTTCCCACATAAAGCAGTTTGAGAGTCAGGTTTGCTCATGCACTATTTCTAGTGAGAAGTTTTTGTTATTAGAAGCATGAGTGAGATAGTGGGACATGTGGTGAGTGTTCCATCATATCACTTTAGGTACTTGGATTGGTGCAAACTTGATTCCTTCTCATACCCCTGTTTAGGAGCTATTTAAATATTACTGTTAAAATCCAAATAACTCTTTGTTTCATGTAACTAGAAAATAGCCAGATTCATGTAAGAACTTCTTAACTGTTTATGAGAAGCTCTTGTAATTGAGATTTACTAGGGTTGGGTGTGGTAAGAAATCACTTTGCCTCTATTTTGGACCAAAAAATCAGTATCATGAAAAAAAAATCCCACATTATGAGAATTCTTGTAGGCATTTAACAATAATTTTCAGTTATGTTAATAAACATTATACTGGGAGGCAGGTCAGATGAATGTCTTGTAATAGACAAAATTTAAAATGTTAGGCTTGAATTCATCAGTTAATGGTTTGAATGAGGGTGGGCGGGTAGACAGATAACAGGATTGCTGTGACGTGTCTGTTCTTGAGGAAAAGGTTGTGAATCCCAGTGCATTTCAGGGAAGCCTTTGAAGTTGTCTGTGATGGACATGAGTCTAAATGTATGTGTGTCTCATTAATTTCTCTTAAAACTACTGAGGTGGCAGTTCAATTCTTAAACACAATAAAATGGAAGCATAAATACTGTTTTGCTGAGATGAGTTTTTACCCAATGGTGACATGTTTGGGAGACTGCTGAGCTTTCCACAGCGCCACGGTAAAATTAGATTCAGTTCTAAATGCTTATAACCAAAAAGTTGGCTGGTGTTACTTCTTTGGGGTATTTGTTTAGAGTTTGTGAGTGCTTTAGTATTTGGGAAAAGATCCATTTTTAAGATTATAAAGAGTTCTCATTTTCCCTGTAAAAGCTACTTGTTTAAAATTGTGTACATACTAGTCTGATACATTGGAAATATAAATAGAAAAATTGGAGCATTTTTATAATTCTTAAGTAGCGACTGTGTGAGGCACAGAACTGCTTAAAGAGAGTCATACAGGTTTTTACAAATAGGCCTACATTTCTGTTTTAGATAATATCAAGAGTATGTAATAATTGTGAATACCTAAAACAAGCAATTGGTCATCAAATTATCAGATTGATATTAAAGGAAGTTTGACACAGTCATACTCAAACATACTCTATTCTGATTGAAGTGAATTTATTTTTATCCACTGACTTATAATGTTATAAACCTAGAAACCAAGCAGAATGTGCTTATTAGGGTAGTTGTACAATCTAATAAAGCAATGCTGGCTGTACTAAGCCTAAGAGAGGAGTGCTCCATAAGCCAGGTAACATTCTGAAGCACTTCTGGTAAAAACTGACTTGACTTTTAAAACCCCTTCAGTTTTCCCTCATTGAAGAGAGCACTTTTTGGAGAACCTTTAAGTACATACTAATTCTCAAGTTTCACTGTCATCCCCTTTGTTTTCAGGCATCAGAATGACAGGATTGTAGCAAACACGTCACGGTTGAGTTCTCACACGTGGGCAGAACCTTTTGGAGAAGGTCAAGGTCCCGTGTCATCCTGCTGTCCCCCACTTCCACCACAGACATTGGTGTCACGCCCCTGATGAGTCGTTAACTTGGACCAGCACCTAGTTTTAGTTACAACTCTGACAACTAAATAGGCTCTGTGACCTAGTCAGCATCCTGATCCTCGCTAAATGTATTTCGTAAACTATATTCAATAATTTTATACTGAGCTATTGCGGGGTAGTAGTAAGCGCTTGGGATGCACTGTCTTTAGAGACTGCCAATCAGAAGTATAATTTATGTACCATATTAGATGTTTGTCAGAATCCTGTGGGGAAACCAGTTAGCATAATTGGGTAGTTTGTAGCTTTAGTGGGAATGGCATTGAAAAGGTGGCATTTGAGTTAAGGTGAAAGTCACATTGAGTGGGAGCCGAGCTTTACAAACTGCAGTTAAGTAAAAGACTTGCCTAACATTTTAGTAGTAGATGAGTAGAATAAATTGTCTCAGGTAGAACATGGCTAGCATTCACAAACCCATCGGTTTTGCCCCCAAGACTTAACATATTCAAGACAAAGTTATTAGCAATAAGGACCTAATTCTGATTACATGAAAAGCCTTTGTGACATCCCAAATGGGGTGTCCCAAGTAGGACAACCTAGCTCCTTTATAAAAGGATTGATTATTCTGACTGTATGTTAGGGAAAGACTGGTGAGGCAAAGATGGAAGCAGAGACCAGTCAGGGTGTTATAATTGTACTAAGGATGATGGTAGCCTTGCAGTTATTACTTGGGTAACTTGAGGACTGGGTGTGTGTGTACATACAGTGCATGCCTACAGGAAAGCAAACACCTTTAGAGGTGGCTGCATAAAGATTCACAAAGTAGATATGGTCCCTGTTCGTCAGCAGCTTAGATCCTTTTTTTTTTTCTTTTTTAACTTTAATGTGCATTTGTGTTTTGCCTGCATGTATGTCTGTTGTGAGGGTGTTGGGTCCCTTGAAACTGGAGTTACAGTTGTGAGCTGCCATGTGGGTGCTGAGAATTGAACCTGGATACTTTGGAAGAGCAGCCAGTGCTCTTAACCACTGAACCATGTCTCCAGTCCACAGAAGCTTACATTCTAATTCAAAGATTTTTGTAAATACTTGTTTTCAAGATATAGTGGTCAGAAAAAAAAATTCACCCTTAAAAATTAATTACCAAGGCTGAAGAAATTGCTCAGTTAAAGATCACTGGCTGCTCTTCCAGAGGACTCAGGTTTAATTCCATAATTCCAGTCCCAAAGAATCTGATGCCTTCTCATGGCATAGATGTAATGCAGCCAAAACACACCTACATAAAAATGTTTTTTAAAGTTGAATTACTAGATTAAAAAGATGAAAATTATAAATAACCTAAAATTATAAAAAAAAGTACAATTCATAATAGCTTTGAAAGTTGTGTTTAATTGTACAATGTTAAATTAGTAACTTTGGAAGAAACAGCATGCACCTATACTATTTCTGAGTTAAGCCCTACCTGTAATCAGTTTTTAGGCATTTTTTAATTTCTTTTGGGAATGTTTCTTAGAACCTAAACTAAAAACTGCATAGTGTAGACTACACAGAATTCCTGACAATTCCTGCAGCTATATCACCTGTCCTCTTTGGATCTTGTTTTAATTTGCTTTCCTAAAATGTGAAGCTGAGCTGGGGTGAGGGAAAGGAAGTGCGCTCCCTTAGTCCCAGTGCTTGGGAGATTCAAGAGAATCAGGAGGTGGAGGTTACCCTGGCCACACAGTTCCAGACTAGCCTAGAATGCATGAGTCCCCATCTCAAAAAACTGAAACTAAACAAACCCTAACAATTACAGCAGCAGTGTGTGTGAGGCCATGAACACACCTGACCCCAAGAGTCTTCACTATGTAAGGGCTGTTTTGAGAATTAAATTATTTTATGTTGTGTGGGTTCTAGCCAGGAGTTCCTGACAGATTTTGTTTTGTTTTTTTCTTTGGATCTGGAAAAATAGAGTCATCATTCACAGAGGAGAAAAGATGAAAAATGGAATCTTCAGGGCAGTTTCAACATGATGAAATCATGGAGATGCTATCAAAAAAAAAAAAAAAGGAATTCTCCCTTTTTCTGTTCATCCATTTAGTGAGTCAGGCATTTATTTGTAAGTGATGTACAACTGTCAGGCAACAACGTTTATCAAAGCTAAATCTTAATTTTGGCAGGTATTAGCTTCAGTTAATTTCTTAATTTGAATAGTATATCTGTCACTAGCTCTTTAGTTTCCTTTTCAATGTTGCTCTGCTTTCTTGAAGTTTGGTTTTTATCTCTGCCAGCACAATGTTTTATGCTCTCTGACCAGGGGTTGGATGTCTGTACTAGTTTCAGTATTGGCCATGAAGCAGACAAGTCAAGGCAGAGGACCACAAATCCCCATTCCTCCAAACCACTCTGAAGTGAAAAACAATTGAGAATGAATTCATTGAGCCTGTTAGGATGTTAAGGTTAACTGTGTTGTGATTAAGGGCACCAAGGACACCAGGACTGCCCGCTCTCTGATTTCCATAGCAAGAATGTAGGGAGTGTCGTTGCCTGGGATAATACAACTGCAATATGAATTTGAGTCTTTTGCCCATCTCCACTTAAATCAGCTCCTGGGAAGGAACGCTCTTATCCTGAGATTTACAGAGGTGTGTGTGTGTGTGTATGTGTGTGTGTGTGTATGTGTGTGTTCATCCTAGACCTGCACAAGTCCTATTAGGTAATCATGATTCAGAAAGCTGAAAGAACACTGAAAGTGCCATTTCTCTTGTCTTTAGGTAAGGTCACTATTTAAATAACTTTACGCTGCCTTTCTGTACTTTAAGTCTAATAGATGAGCCTTTCTGGGTGGTCTCAGGTAAGGATGAGCTCGTATTTGACGATACGTGTCCAGTCTAAAACAATGGGATCAGCTTTCCCATTCACAGTATATTTTGGTGTTTACTTGAGGGCACTGAGTTGTGTGCTGCTGCTGCTGTTTATTTTCCAAGTGTCATGTGAGTAAGTGCACATTTGGCCACAAGAACAAGGCCACAAAGACACTGAATCTCACTCTGCAACACAAAGCTCAACAACTCCTCCCCTGCCCTTGAGTTACAAACAAAACTTTTCCTATTGGCTTCTCTCCCAGTGAGGCTGGGAAGCAATGACTTTGCTTCCATCTCTTTACCTTCTTGCTTTGTCATTGTATAGCCCCCATTATCTTATATAGTTTTCATACCAGGAAGGGAAGTAAGGAATTGCCTTGAGAGCCATTTACATAATGCTTTCGTGTATAGTATGAGAACGAGTGTGTCTGGATCTAGATGAGTTAGAAGCGTTAAACACTGGGGTGATAATAATAAAAATCTGGTCAAAAAAAAGTTCTATTACCAAGTTCTGTTGAAAGATTCCCATGCAGTGTTGCCACAGCACTCGAAGAGACCCACAGCAAACGTGCTTCAGAAGGCCAATAAATTTAGTAAAATAGCACACACCTGTACAGTTTAATTGTTTAAAATAGAGATATATTAGTATGACCTGTATAAATTAGAGTCAAAGCAGTGGTGTAAACACACCATAAAACATTGTGCATGAAGATAATGACTGGGATAGGAATCTGTTTACGCTACAAAAATACATATAAAATACTTTCTACCTTTGTTAAGTCTACAAGGCAGAAAATTAGGAATATGTACATAATTTTTTACTAGATATGTGAAAAATATACCATGCTAGAACAATCTCGTTCCAAAGTTTGAAACATAATTCTGTCAAATAAAAATATCCTTCATACAATGTATGAACTTAGCAATAACTTTCTAGGTATAAAGTTGTTAATATGACAGATGAGAATTCTTCTGAGTTGTATCTTGATTAGAATCTTGTTTCAACTGGTACCTGGAAGAAAGCATAGTTTTTGTTTTAAATAATTTGTTGAGTTCCCTTTTCAGCATTTCTTTCTTTGGATCTAGAACCTAACAGTTGCCAATATTTATTTATCTTTTAAAATAATTTATTTTATGTATTGGCTGTTTTGCCTGAACGTATGTGTATAAATAAATCTTATGCATGCCCGATGCCTGCAGAAGCCAGAAGAGAACATTGAGTCCTCTTGGACTTGGGATACAGATGACTTTGAGCTGCCATGTCGCT